AGATCTATTAGCAAGTCTCTTATCTTCTCCCGTTACAATACTAGCATCTTCCTACTAATTAGATTCTTTAAAAACATGTACACAATCGAAATAGCACAGCCTGATAAACTTAGGGAAATAAAACCTTTCATTAGAACTCATAGGCAATTAGATTTCGTCCTAGTAACTGAATAATTAATCAACTTATCTGATAACCTGAAGGTACTAGTTTCAAGCGCAAGTGGGTGATTCATGGATGCGTACTGTAGAATAGTCTTACACTACAACAACCAGACCGATAGCTGCTACCTTAACGTGGTGGTTACCGGGCTTGCGCATATCGCAATGACCCAGCAAGCTACACTGGCTGGAAATAATGTTCCTGCAGGTCTTACCATGCCAAGAATGTTGTTAGGATAGCGATTAGAATAAAACCAGTCACCGGTATAGTGTAAGATTTGTTTTTTTACACTAGGCTGCGGGTCGGTGGGCAAAGTCGTAATGCTGGGGAACAGGGATGTGACAGCAGTGAGCTGTTTCCCTCAGACGACTGACATGCTAGCTATTCTGTCTCTCCACTCTGGAGAGAAGGGGTTAGAAAAGGTCGACCCAAAAATTGTACATCCCGACTTATCCTATGGTGGTCCGTAACCGGCGGTAAGTTTACTAATGCGGAACCAATCCAAGAAACCAGCTCAGACAAGCTGTGTACGACGGGCCTCAAGTACTTGGCCCCTGGACTCTGCGGTCACGCAACACTGACCCTCTTTCTGTTTCAGGTACATGAAGAAATAACTAACTTCCATGATGTGGGCAGCCAGGAAGTAACAACCGTACACACACTTCCAAAAGTACACGAAGAATTTCCGGAGCATCTTTCTCCTTTACCCACATCACCTTCATCATCTTACTCCCCTACTACAGTTAGTACTATTCTTCAGTCTAGTGAGTCATCTTCACTTCACTCTGTCACCATAAACAACGATGACAGCCATAGAACCCCCCCCCCCGAAAGCCTCTTAAAGCCACGTCGTCAACTCCATATAGGAGCATTTAACGTCAGGACCCTCTGCCAAATCGGACAACACGTACCACTAAGCGGCATTCTGGCATCTCCAGCAATGGATGTATGTTGTGTTTCGGAGACAGACATATAAGACCCGAGTGTGGTTATTCAGTTAACTACACCCGACAAAACAAAGTGAATCTGCAAAATTCACCTTAAGGATATCCTTCTGTTCAGATAATCTCTTCCTAGTCAGCTCTAACTTAAGGCACAAAGACAGACACTGCCTAACCTGGCGAGCTCTATCACCAAATCAACGCTGAACTCAAATAGACCACATAGAGACAGAGTATCGTTGGTGAGGCTCAGTAGGAGAGTGTCCCTCCCACTAGAACACGCACGTAGACTCGGATCACGCCCTAGTTCGCGCTCGTTTATGCTTACGTCTACCATTTTGCATTCCTTTTGGCTTTCTTCTCTTACTTTGTGTGCTACATGGAGTGTAGCAACTCGGATTGCTGCACACCGGTACAAAGTTCTATGCTGAAACCAATCAGTCACACTACAACAAAACAGTTGTCCAATACTCCCTGATTATCACGGGTTCTTTAACGGATGTCAATTTGTTATCTAATCTGTTAATTATAAATGGACATTCAACAAATTTTTCTAGTCTTATTTCAGCAGTTTGTCTATCTTTCGCCAACCATTCAACCAAATAATAGTAGTAACAACAGATTTATTCTGAAAAATGCGTTTATACACAATACAGAAGTTCCAGTGGATTTCTAATTGTAAGGCATTTACTCCTTGTGTAGAGTCTTTAAATAACATAGCAGATGATAACATATAGGCTGAAGTGATATCGTTTAATTGGAGATAGGCCCCAATAATAATGCATAAGGTTTTTCCTCCAAAAGAGGAACTTCACGTGAACCTAGATTTCACAGGAGACGTAGCCTGTGATATCTCCAGGAGGGGAATTTCAGGATCTTTGAAAGGAACATTCTTCGCAACAACACTAAGAGTAGTGTTCTCCGGTGGTCAGTTGGTATGCAGAAACCTTAAGGACAAGATCTCGCATCTCATCAATCCTATGTGTACATATCAGTTCACCTGTTGCTGTGGAGCCAGCCAGGTACATTGATCGTTCGATGCGTATCCTGTCCAAAAGCGATTGAGAACACTATCCCGCACGGCTGCTGAAAAAAGGTAGTAGTGAGCCTATATATAGTGCGGTAATCGAACACCTTGCAAACATTGGTCATTGAATCTCAACAAACGCCTCCTTTCCTTCAAAGTAATCCAAAGGCAACACGTTTTCATCCTCTTTGTATTCCTGAAGCCTTCGCCAATCAGTTATGCATACAAAAGAAAATCAGTCAACAAGTTCTACTCTTACAGCAACAAGTGTGTTGACTCCCACTGACCTGATGTTTGTATGCCTACCCTTCGAAATCTTTATAAATCTTGTATTTCCTTACAACTCTTAGATAATTCCATATTTTCCTTTGTTTCTATGCACATCCTAATCAAAACTCACTCATTAAATTATTCGTCATATCACGCAACTACAATATACTTATTCAGATTCTCTTATGCATTGAAGAACATTGACAACTATGTTTTTTCACAAATCATTACCACCACCCCCTAATTACAATTTAATTATTATAATAAAGGTTTTTTATATTTCCCAACAAAACGATATTGTTTTGTTTCCTGACGTTACACTATTTAATGCTGCTGCTAATGGCTTCATCAAATTAGTATTATTAAACCAGAATTCACAAAATCCACTCAGTTTATATATAACTTAATCATCGTTCCTCAACAGACGTTATTCAGAATTAAACGTCGGTGAACTACCATTTCTAGACTGCCTGGCTAGTTAAGAGGAGGGAAAACGGATATTTTAGTATATCTATATTCAGGAAGAAAATCCACTCCAACAACAAATATTTAAACTTCGGATCATCACGCTCCATCAGCGCGAAGATATCAGTTGTCTAAAGTCTTCTTAGACAAGCACACTCTTTCGTGTTAACGGATGAGAAAGAAAATGAGGAAGAAATATCAAACATTACTGAGACTCTCAAGCTAAACAACTACCCAAAGAACTTTATCAACAAAATCAACACTGACATTAAGCATAGTCGAAAACGTATTCCAAAAACATGGACCTCATTCCATATAGATCAGAGAAGTCGGACGATATCAGAAGAGTACTCAATAAACACGATATCATGGTTTTCTTCAAAACATCAGACACACTGTGAAGCAACTTTGTCCATATAAAAGACCAAATCCCTAAATATTCTCTATCTAATTGTATCTGTAAAATAAAATGCTTGGAATGTGATGTGATATACATCGAACAAACATAACGAGAAATCAAAATCAGAGGAAATGCACATCACAGAGCCACGTCTCTTCGACCATCGAGAAATCCAGTTAGGGAACTACAAAAGCTTGAAAAATTATCAGCCATAGCTGGTCTACACGCTGTAGAATCAGGCCAAAAACTTGATTTTGATAATATTGAAATCATCATCCAGAAGCATTTCAGAAGTCACAAAGAACGTTTCACATCATTAGAAGCACTTTATATCAAGTGGAATCCAAATTGTCTGGTGAATAGGAATGATGGACTAAAACAGAATTTGACCTGGTTACAACACCCACCTCCCCCATGAAGTGACAAAATCAACACGAATGTGATAAGCAATTTCACTATGTGAACACACGCCTCTCTTATAATCTTATACACTTATCAAATCTAACAATTGGCCAACCTGACAACGCAAAAATGACCCTATGCTGAGGAACGATGATTAATTTGTTAGATATAAACTGAAATTTTATAAATTCTGCTATAATAATACTAATTTGATAAAGCTATTAGCAGCAGCACTAAATAGCGAAACGTCAGTAAAAACGACAATATCGTTTAGTTTTTCATTCATTGGGAAATACAATATAGGTAGGTGGTTACCTGGGGTTCTAGTGGGAAGTCGTGACCAGTAGGGTGAAGCAGGTAGGGTGTGAGCACAAATACTTGCCGAAGACATTGGCTAGTGGTCACGCTATGTCGTGGATTGGCTGGCAGAAGTTAGAATTCATGGGCCATTGGATCAAGTCCCAGTGGCTTAATGGTATACGAGCTCGCTCGCCTTGTAACCAGAGCGTCCTGGGTTCGAACCCTGGCGGTGGGTGCGTACTGATGAAGAGTCCCAAACTAGGACGAAAAAGCTGTTCAGTACTCCCTGAAGGTTTTCCAATGGCTCTCTAACTAATGTCAGCTCATGATGAAATCCTGTAACCAATCAATCAAATGCCTACAAACCAACACTTGAACAAAAGCTTTTATTATATTGAATATATATCATAAACCCAATGCCCAAATTTTTTTCAAACTGTTAAAAGTGAACTTGGTCTGAACATATATAAATTTGATTATTCATCACATTTTTTGAAATATCCTGATGACGTAAACACCAATCTTAAATAACTGATTGTTACTCTTGTGTCTAACAAACCTAATGTACAGACACATACACATAGAAAAGCCACGTAGGAAGGTGTAGACTTCCTGGTTAGGGTCCTCGGGACGGTAAAAACCAATGGTTGGAAACTATTGGTGACATGGCTGAAAATCGTTCTCGTGAATGGTGCAGATGCATCCACTCCCTGTGATTTCCAATGAAACTATATTGTTCTTCGTTATTACTATTCCTTTGTCTCCCACCTCTGTTTACTGTCTGTATTATGCATTTCTTCTAATTTCTTATCTTGCTTTGTGTACTACAAGGAGGGAGTGTGGCGACTTGAACTGCCGCACATCAATGGAAAGTTCTATGTCGAAAACAGACAGACAGACATAGAAAAGTAATGATACATAATTACGAAAAGAGACTCTTCGCTGAACTACGTGTTTTGTTTTCCCTCCAATTCCGTCAGAAAATTTGTAGTGAAAGGTTGAAATATATATATATATATATATATATATATATATATATATATATATATATTAGAAAATATGCTTCCAGCACACTTTTCAATTCTTAAACATAAACCGGTATAATTAAAACAACTTGAAATGGGCGGGACGGGGCAGCGGGGGAGGGGGAGGGGTAAACACAATACATTTAGGTCGGTGGTAGCCGCCTAGTGATTTAAGCAAGCCAACCAACTGAAAGACAAAAAACATAGAATTAAAAACAACAATGGCTAAATGTCATGCATGTTCATCTTTTAATTTACGTGGAATGCCAGACAATGGACTAGTGAATGCAGGTTTACGTTTACGTGCACCGACTGTAACTGTAGTCGGAGGATTTGTAGGAGAAAAAGAAGAAGAAGAAACAAAAGCAGTTGATGTAGTCGACAGAGACGAAGAATCCAAAGACAACTGGACAGGATTAGGCACAATTAAAGATTGATGATGTGTTGAATCAGTGGAAGGCGAAGAAGAAGAAGGAGAACCAGATGTTGAAATATTTGCTGAAATAATTGTTACATCTGACGACGACACAATACTATGCGAACGAATCAACTTTGATGAAACGACTGTAGTAGTAGACTCTGTAGAATTGGATGATGATGATGGTGTCATATCGATTACAGAGGTGGAAATCGATACAGAATCCGTAGTAGGCCTACAACAATGCATACATAACCAATGTTGTTTTGATGTTGACATTAAAATCATTGGTTGATGACATAATTGATGATACAGTGAACCGCATTGAATACATTCAACTAGAACATTAGCATTCATTGTTCGTTTATCTGGTTCTAATTGTGGTTGTTGAGATAAACGTCCACAGATACGACAGACTAAATCAGCGACTAAACTTGCAGCCAATAGACGTGCATTATTATTGTTATTATTATTATTACTACTTCGACTCAAAGTGATATTGTCCTTATCTGCATTCAGCAGATTATTAGGATCAGTAGTAACAGCAGGAGTTGGCGTTGGTACTGAGGTTTGAATTGTAGAAAAGTATCCGGAGGGAGCGATTTTCACGCTGGACAATTTATCTTTTGAAGAGCTGTCATCAAGTGAAGGTAAAGTAATAGTAGTGGTAGTATTTGGGGTAGTATTCGTAGCCACAGCAGTATCAGTGGTGCTAGTAGTAGTAACAGTCGTGGCGGCGGTAGATGGGGATAATTTCGTCGGTGAATCATTTGTCAAATCTATAAAAGGGATGGATGAATTCAAATTCTTGATCGGTGAATCAATTGTTGGCACTCCACTAGTACTACTATTGATGCTACCTGTACCCACTGATGTATGTGATGAAATGTTACAACTACCACTATTACTTGGTTGAATTGTTGTACCGGAATCTGGAATCAGAAAAGAGCAAATATTCTTTTTAATACTATACATCCTACTGAATACCTGATTAAAACGGGATCAGTTAATAAAACCTGAAACTAGATATTAAAACTGACTAGTATCAGATGGTTGGAGGCAATTGGCAGGGAGCCTTGCACCTAGGTTTCGGGGAAAATCAAGCAGGATTTAGACCAGGTAGAGGGTGCATAGATCATATCGTCACTCTCCGACAGACTTTACAACATAGACACACTTTTCGGCGTCCAACAATTGCCACATTTCTTGACTTGAAGGCGGCCTTCGACTCCGTGGATCGAAAGGTATTATGGCAATGTCTGACTGTGAAGGGAGTGCCAAGAAAGTACATTGCACTAATCAAGGCACTCTATTCAAACTCATGTAGTCGTGTAAGGGCTTATGGGGAATTGTCATCTGAATTGGTAACAACCAGTGGTGTCCGACACGGATGTCCACTTTCCCCATTTCTGTTTAACTTCATCATAGATATGCTGATGGACGTATCCTTAAGTGAACGTAACGACTTAGGAATCGACTTGTTACCAGGGAATAGTCTTATGGACTTAGAATATGCAAATGACATAGTCCTGTTAGGGGAGGATGCTGACAAAATGCAGAGTCTTCTGAACACCTTGAGCAGCAAAATTCGTATGTTTGGCGTGTGATTCGCCCCTGTAAAATGTAAGATGCTGCTACAGGACTGGACCACGTCAACTCCTAACTTAGTGAGAGGGAGTGAAGTGATAGAACATGTCGACCACTTCACCTATTTGGGAAGTTGTATCAGCACCAACGGACTGATTGGCCATGAAATCTCAGCACGGATCCGAAAAGCTCGAGCTGCTTTCGCTGACTTACACCATCTCTGGCGTAGGCGTGACATCCGGTTATCAACCAAGGGACGTGTGTACTGCTCAGCAGTTCGCTCCGTCCTTCTCTATGGCTCTGAAACATGGCCAATACGAGTTGAAGACATGAAAAGGTTGACTGCTTTCGATCATAGATGTGTGCGATCTCTGTCTCACGTTAGGTGGTTTAACAAGGTAAGTAATGTTGACGTTAGGCGTAGAGTGTTGGGTGAAGAGGGAAAATCAATCGACGAGGCTATAAAGTCACATAGATTGAGATGGCTAGGTCAAGTGCTGCGAACACCTAACCATCGCCTCCCCCGACGGGCATTACTAGCTGATATAGGTGGTGCAGGTTGGAAAAGAGTAAGTGGTGGCCAAACAAAAACATGGCCTCATCAATCCATGAAATCCTTGACAGTTAAACTGAGTCGGTCAGGTAGGGAGATGCAGACTCCCGGGTTGGGGCCTTCGGGACTGACTCTAGGAATCAATGGCTGGAGACAATAGATGACATGGCTCAAAATCGTTGTCAATGGCGCAGATGCATATTCAGTCCCTGTAATCTCTCATATTTCTTTCTACAATTACCCATTCTGTTTCGCTATTATACTTGTCAAACCATATTGATTCTCCTCACTCATCTGCTTGTCTACCTTTGTGTGGTATTTGGAACGTGGCAATTCGAGCTGCTGCACTTCGCAGCCACGTTCGATGTTGAATCCAGATAGAAAGAGACAATATAATTTCATTGGAAATCACAGGGAGTGGATGCATCTGCACCATTCACGAGAACGATTTTCAGCCATATCACCAATTGCTTCCAACCATTGGTTTTTACCGTCCCGGGGACCCTAACCAGGAAGTCTACATCTTCCTACGTGGCTTAAACTAACCATTGTGGATTTCATTGACTGATGAAGCCATGTTTTGGTTTGACCGCCGCTAGCTAACTCTTTTCCAGCCTTACTCTATGTCAGCTAACATTGCCCATTGTCAAGGAAGGCGATGGCTAGTCGCTCATGCGCAACACATGTCCTAACCATCTCAGTCAATGTAGCTTCACAGAGTCGTCGATTAATTTCCCCTCCCACCTACCTAGCACTCGACAGATGTCTAACCTCAATGTTGCTCACCTTATTATACCACTTAACGCACACGGGAGATAGAGCGAAGGCACCTATGATCAAAGACAGCTAATCTTGTCATGTCTTCCACTCTCAATGACCAGGCCTCAATCACAATGATAAAGGAGGACGGAGCGGACTGATGAGCAGTACACACGGCCTTTGGTCGATAGCCAGATATCACGTCTGCGTCAGAGGCGGCGTAAACTTGCATATGCAAAACTAGACCTCTGTATTCGTGCTGAGATTTCGTCAGAGATCAACCCGTTGACACTGGCTTATGGTACTTCCCAAATAAGTGAAGCGGTCAACGTGCTCTACCACTTCACTGCCTATTTCTAAACTAGGAGTCAGTGTAGTCCAATCCTGTAACATCATCTTAAATTTGGCGGGAGTGAATCGCGTGCCAAACATTCGTAGATTGCAGCTCAAGGTGTTCAGAAGACTCTGCGTTTTGTCAGAGTCAAGTCAGTAATGAGACTGGTAAAGAGGCAAGGTTGGGCATAAGACTAGTAACCACATCCCGTTAAAACAAACACTACTGCCACAAAAACTTGAAGCCGCCCTATGTTCCCCTGGAAACGTAAAGGAATTTTTTTTAAAAAACCATTACAGACATATGCCTGTCCAACCTCATGAGGAGAAATTTATCGAAAAAAATATTCTTTGTTTACTCATTCACTCACTCACTAATCAGTGGTTTTACAAACGACAACAAATTCACAAATCTAATGGATATACAATACGACAGAAACATACCAGCTGATTCAGTATTATTAATTAAATTATCCAATTGACTTAAGCATCGTTGTATAGTAATATTCTTTGAAGTTGTCGATGTTGAAGTACTACTATTGTTATTATTATTATTATTACTGGCTGTTGATGAGGCAATATCAAAGATATTGAAAAATGCCACTTTATTACGTTTCACTGCTGTACGATTTGTACTTTGAATTGAAGAAGGAATACTGCCAGTAGCAGCATTAGTACCAGTAGTCGTAATAGGAGTATTCAAAATGACTGATGATGTCGGAGAAGGAGAAGGAGGATTATTGACTGAGTTTAAAACTTGATCACAGTTTGGATGATGCGTTGTTGCATTGATAGGAGTGGTAGGTGTTGGTGTTGAATTAGTCGAATCAATGACACAAGCAGTAGCAACAGTGCTTGCTGTTGTTGTTGTTGTTGTTGTAGAACCACTTGAGGGCGTCGGAACATTTAATTCATTCACTGACGAGATAATACGCGAACGTTGAGTAGGATGAATTACACCAGAGGTATCACGCTAGATTTTTAGGAGGGAAAACAATATTGTGTTGAGAGCTGGATGCGCGAACAAGCCAAAGATTGCAGACAACAATTTACGTTAATGTTCACATCCCGAATCAGGGTCAAGAGAAAATCATCAGCCAATCACAGTGGAGTTAAAGTGTGGAAATATGACTGGCAGATATATGGCTTGGTTTTCTGAGAAACGGCCACAAAGAGATAACAGACTAATAACCTTCAGCAAGAAAACAACCAATCAGGAGAGGTTGGCTTCTCCACTGACAATAATGTGCATAAAAATCTATAAATATCTGTTGATGTTCTCAATAAGGGATCTGATACCTGGCGCTTGTCTTCTACCGTTGCAATATTATAACTGTCTTTTATTACTTAATTACAACAACCAAAAAAATCAGCACATTTTAGGATGAAATATACTAACTACTACTATTTAATGAGTAGTTGAAAACTACTGACATCAAACAGCAGCGCTTGCTATAAACAGATCGCAGTGATCTAACCACTAATGGTATTCGGATTGATTAAGATCAGAGGACCAAATCAGTTTTAAACATCCACCCATCACCTCAGTCTGATTATCAAGGCATTATAGCGTTGACGTCAGTGATTACCAACTACTAATAAGAATCAGTAGTATATCATCAATCATGAATTTAGGCTTACATCCTTAATTGCTATTTATGTTATCAAACAATAACTATTATGTTGAGAATTCTTTTATCAAAAGACTGATTGATTAACTGGTCTCGACATAGAACTAATTTGCACAGATATATGCAGGAGTTCGAGTTATCGCACTCCCTCCTTGTAGCATGCAAAGCAAGAGAACAGAGTAACGGAGGTTCAAAAAGACAGATAACAAACGGAAGTACGAGGGAAAAAGAATTAAGTTTTTTGCATATTATAAATCACAAACAGTGAATCCATCTGCGCTAGCCATTGAGAACGATTTTTAGCCATATGGTCAATTGTCTCCAGCCGTCATTGGTTCTTACCATACCTAGGAACCCAACCAGCCAGGAAGCCAGTCACCTCCCTACGTGAATGGCTGGCTGATTGGCTTAAAATAACTTATGGATTTCATTGAATGATGAAGCCAATACTAGCTGTTTTCCAATGTATTCATATATCAGCTAATATTGTTCATTGCGGAAGGCGAAGGCTAGGCAGCATGTGTACCACATGTCCTAACCATCTCAATCGATGCAGTCGCTTCCCAACCTCGTCGATTGACTTCCCCTCCTGCCTACCTAGCACTCGACCGATGCCTAACCTCAATATTGCTCACCCTATTACACCACTCAACACGGGAGATAGAACGCAGACACCTATGATCAAAGACAGCTAGTATGGCTTTTCATGTCTTCCACTTTCAGTGGCCATGTTTCACTCACAGACATAAAGGAGGACAGAGTGAATTTCTGAGCAGTAGGGCTTCAAGCAAGCTTCAGCTTTGGAGTTTCAGAAGCAGTAGTATTCTTTGACAGGATGGGGTTGCTAGCCTTACGCCAAACCTTCCCTCTTTACCGAGCTCACTACCAATCTTGCATGTCATCCTTGCACACAGGCCATGCTAATCTTCTGTGTCATTTCAGTTTTAGTACATATATGTACCCCCGAAACGAGTAAACAGAACGGGAAGATCATGAAAAGTGAATACATCTGCGTCAATGATAATGGCAACATCTACAGCGCTTCTGCTGAATTTATGAGCAAACTGTTTGTGGTCACTGAAGGATTTAAGAACAAGCAGGAGACGTTTTTCCATAGTTTTCAAAAATGGATACGTGACAGGGATTGGCTTAAACTTTAAAAAGTGAAATACTTGGTACTCTATGAATATCTAGGCTGTGTGATGAATCTAAAGATTAATAAAATTACACCTGGTATGGTCAGACAACGACATATAGGAGATATCTAATTGAGTATCTTGAAAATCCCCATTTAGTCATAGTCTTCTCTTTTTCATATCTAATTGAAATGAACACTGTATGGTAGATATATTAGTTGTATAACAATCATATCAGACTTACCTCAGTCTGTTCACTTGATGATGATACACTAACAGCTTCTCGGTGTTCACGTAAAGCTTCAGCAATAGTCATATGTGCAACTTGTGCTTCATTCTCACAAGCTTCTCTATACAATTTACGTAATTTATCACGATCTGAAGGCTTTTTTGAATGGACAAGACGAAGAGCTTTAATCAACCAGGCTTCTAAAATCGGCGCTGTTGTATGTGTGTACTGTGATGAATTTATAGCCATACCTCTAAAAACAATTATAAAAAATACGTTAACTACTTAAACATATTTTAGTAGTAAAAGTAAAAAATAAGAAAAAGACTTCTTTGAGAGACGCTTGCACAGCCACTTTATATATTTATAATGCGAATTGATTACAAAGAAGAAATAGGAAGTAAAGAAGTACAAGATAATAAACGAAAGAAAATACAAAAATTAGCTTTAGGAATGATAAAATGAAAGCACAGTTTATCTGTGTTGACTTAGTCATCTCCGGGAATAACTTCTTCTAAACGACGAATAAATTTAACACGTATTTCATTAATTTGATCTCCACGTAATTGATCTTGTACAAAACGAGATTCAACGTCAAGTTGTACCTAAAGATGTCAACAAAAGAAAATATACGTGAAAATCAATATGTGATAGCAAATAACTTTCTTGACGTTCTCTATATTAGATAAGCACTGGGTGATACAGGTTCTAATCTTAGGAGGGGCATAAGTTCCTTTTGAGGATTGCAGATATAACTTGCTGACTGGTCATTGCCAAGAGGCATGAAATACACGTCCAAGGCTTCCTCGGGATTGCCTACAACCATCTAATAGTGCGTCGGTGGCACAGCAGTTAGGACGCTCGCCGACCATGTACATGGGTTTGATCCCCGACCGACGCACTCCTTTACCTCGTTAAGCCAGAATTAAAGCTGGTAAAGAGGAAAGGTTGGGCATGAGGCTAGCAACAACCCCATCTTGTAAAAATTAAACACTTCTACAGAAACTTCAAGCCACTAGCTTGAGGCCCTATGTTCCACTGGGGAACGTGAAGGAATAAAAAAAATCTAATAAAAACATACAATGATAATAACTGAATGACGTTTCGAACACAGTTTGTTGCTGTTCAAAGTCAATCATATTAATGTATTCACTAAACTTCTTCAACTCCTTTTTAGAGTTTTACAGTCCCTCCTTCCTCTAACCCCCTGTTTTTCGTCGTAATCTTCCATATATCTGGGATTGGGTTTGCCTCATTTTGACCGCACATGTTTAGTGTTGATCAGATGAACAACGAACGACTCGGAGGTTAACCTTTCTTTTTATGTATATTATAATGGTTTTTTAACATTATTACTGCTAGATTTCACATATTATTTTGGTTCAAGTATATAATTTTCAGCATTTGATAGCGGTTGCCCAAATTTAGTAGGCCGACAACCATTGATATCAGGTGTGCGTCGGCCGGTGATCGAACCTCGGACAACCTGTGTGGTTGGCGAGCATTCTAACCACTGTGCCACCTAACCACCATACATTTATACAGTTCTAGTGATTTTGAAAGTCTGATTATAACTGTAATTAGTTCCCTCCATCCTTCTTCACTGCGGTGAGATGGGGAGGTCGATATTAGAAGATGTAAGAACGATAGCTGTCTCCAATCATGCATGTCTGTATTCCATCTATCGTCTTAGGCGGTTTAATATAGTCAGTAGTAAAGAAGTAGAGATTGCGCCAAGGCTCCCCTCCCTGAGTCTCTGAAATTCACGGGGTTAGAGACTATTGACTCAAAATCGTCCTCAATGGAGCAAGCGCATTCGCCCTTTGTAATTTCACAGATTGTGAAAACTCTCATTATTCTCCATGTAATCACAACTAATTCCTGCACATTCCCATATATTTCACTATCACCGCAAGAGAGACATTGAGTAACCTGGCGACCTCCATAGCCAAAATCAACGTTAGACTTAAATAGCCCACATAGCGAAGGATATCGCTGGCGAGGATCAGTAGAAGACTGCTGCTACTTCCGGAACACATGCGTAGACTCCGATCATGCCCTGGTTTACGAAAGTTTATGCTTACGACTAAACGGACATAAAGAACTGTTGGCAGCAAAGAAGTTACGCCACCAAATAAATCGATATACTGAGTCCCTATTTAAGGAAGAAATATCGAAATGTGTATCTTTGATCGACAGCAGGACTTCTCCTGAGGTAGCCTGACACAACATGCAGTTAGCTGTAGACACAGCTGTAAAAGCTGTTAATTACCTAAAATAAAAAGTTAGTATGAGCCATCGGATTTTTACCGCCTTATCCGAACTGACTGACGCAAGAAGAGCGATTCCGGCGAGCTCCAACTATGATGAGGAGCGAAAGCTACTCAAACAAAAACTAATAAGAATTCTTCGTAACCACAATTGACGGTGGTGCGAGAAAAAAGCGAAAGACATGGGAAAGGCATCGGCGAGAGGTAACACCAGAAAACTATTTAACCTTATCAGGCAAACACGTGGCAAAAGGCAAACGATAAGTGAAACAACATTCGAGAAAAATGGCACCATAATTAGCTCTCAGGATAGAAGACTGCAACGTTGGAAAGAGCACTTTGAGGAGAATTTTAATTGGCCTACAGTAACTTTCAACTTACCCAGCATACAACAACTCCCCGAATACGATCTAAACACCGTCCCTCTGTCCCTGAGGTCACAAAACCTGTCACTAATCTCAAACAAAGCAAAGCGGCGGGACCTGATGGAATGACTCCAGAGATGTTTAAGGACAGTGGAGACAGTCTACTGTCTGCGTTAACTAAGGTATTAGTCAACGACGTCTGGGAATCAGAGATGATAGTCCGGTTGGACTAGTGTAAGTCTCGATTTAAAAGACGGGAGACAAGTCTTCCTGTGATATTCATACGGGGATTAACTTGATCAATATGGTATCTAAAGTTCTCAACTCAATAACCATGCTTAGATTAAGTAACGCCTAGGGGAAACAAACATGGAAAAATCAGGCAGTCTATAGACCGGGAAGAGGGTTTATTAGTCATACCTTCAACCTCCGACAAATTCTGGAACATAGGCATACTTACCGGAAACCACCAATCGCAATGTTTCGTGACCTGAGGGCCATATTCGACTCCATCGACCGACGTGTACTGTGCCAATGCTTGGTTGTAATGGGAATATCGAGAAAATACAATGAACTGATCAAGGTATTCTATTTGAACCCATGCGGCCAGGTAAAAGCCTACAGGGGTTGTCAGCTAAAGTGATGACAATCAGTGATGTCGGTCAGGGATGTCCACTGTCTCCATTCCTGTTTAATTTCATCATAGATATACTAATGGACTTAACCTTAACTGACTTCACAGACTCAGGGATTGATTTGTTACCACCAGGGAATAATCTTGTTAAACTAGAATACGTGGATGATATAATCTTCCTACGTGAAGACGCCGATGAAATGCAGAGTCTTCTAAACACCTTGAGAAGCAATCTTCACGCATTCGGTATGCGATTTGCTACTGTCAAACGTAGGATGATGTTACAACACTGGACTTCATCGAATCACTTCTAGCTTAAAGATCGGCAGGAGTGAAGTAGTGGCTAAGTCTGCTGACCACTTCACTTATATGGGAGTTGCATCAGCCAGCTCCAACGTGTTGATCACTGAAGAAACCTCACCACCAATACAAAAAGCTCATGTAAGATTTGCTAACTCACACCATCTCCGATGTAGGCAGGATAGCCTGCTGTCGATCAACAGATGTGCGTACTGCTAAGCAGTATGCTCCGTCCTCCTTTATGTCTGTGAGACAAGGCCACTGAAAATGGAAGACATGAAAATACTAGCTAGCTGTCTTTGATCATACGTGTCTGCATTCTGTCCCTTATGTTAGGTGATATAATAGGGTGAGTAATATTGAGGTTAGACATCGGTCGAGTGCTAGGTAAGTGGGAGAGGAAATCAATCGACGAGGTTGTGAAGCAGCTGCATCGATTGAAATGACTGGGATATGTGTTGCCCATGCTTCCTAGCCATCGCCTTCCTCGACAAACAGTGTTAGCTGACATACGATCAAGTTGGAAAAGAGTTAGCTGGTGGTGGTCAAACCAAAAAATGGCTTCATCAGTCTATGAAATCCATAACAGTTAGTTTAAGCCAGCCAGCCAGCGAGCCACGTCAGAAGACGTTGCTTCTCCGCTAATAATAATGTACATAAAAATCTATAAATATCTCTTGATTTTCTCAATAAACAATCTGTTGCCTGGCCCTCATCTTCGGTCGCTGCAATAGCATCAATAGTCTCTAATCCGAATAAGTGGTGAATGATATTATAAATCAATGAATGCAATTCAATAATGCATAATCATAATCACATAAAAAATATCTTACATTATGTAAAGCACCGCGTATAGCGCCCGCCAATACATTAGAATACAAGAGATTTTGATGCTCTGATGGAAGATCCACAAATTCAGTTAGAGGATTAGTCTCCAATACAAGACTGAATTCATCACCAGCTGAACTGAATTTACAAATACTTGGAGTTATACCTAAGAATATCTTAAAACCCTAGAAATTATGAATAGAAGAGAGAGAAAAATAGACGAATATGAAAATATCAACATTATTTTTTTATCATATACTGTGAAACGCAAACTCGGTACTCTATGAGCATCAAGCGATACGCTACACAACGTCTGATAGTTTGTCTGAAGACTGAATAACAATACAAGTGCCTGGACCGAAGCAGGCGGTTGTCTTAAGGGTGTTCCCCTTGCGAGCCTTTAACTTGAAGTCTTATCCACAAGACAATGGAGCAGCATCAGGAGGTGCATTTCCATGGTTTCTGGTGAGGGAAACAGGCCATAGGCCATTTGATACGTTCGGTTTCTGAATCCCATGTACGCAATACGTTTGGAAAATCAGGGTTTTTCAGCTCCCCTAGGTGGAGCAGCATGTCCCTCAGTTCGGTTGTAAGCGCCAGACGTGAGATCATTTCGAGAGGAAGACTGAAGTCTACCCCCGCCTTTGGCTGTACTAGGCCATTAATGAGGGCTGGAAATATAAACAAAACCGATACTGTGATAAAATCTATTCGGTGTAGTGTAACACGATTTGATGCATAAGTTAAGTTCTATCTAGAATAAACATGTGAACACTGTGAAGGTGATGCGGGTCTTGAGCAATTTCAGTGATTGAGATAACAGTAAACTCAACCATCTCAATATCTACTACCGAGCGATCTGCGGTTAATCGTCCAGCGATCCGTCCAAATCAAATCGACTTGTTACCAGGGAATAGTCTTATGGACTTCTGTCTGTCTGTCTGTTTTCGACATACTGGACTTGGAATATGCAGATGACATAGTCCTGTTAAAGGAGGATGCTGACAAAATGCAGAGTCTTCTGAACACCTTGAGCAGCAATCTTCGTATGTTTGGCGTGTTATTCGCCCCTGTAAAATGTAAGATGCTGCTACAGGACTGGACTATGCCAACTCCTAGCTTAGTGAGAAGGGGTGAAGTGATAGAACATGTTGACCACTTCACCTATTTGGGAAGTTGTATCAGCACCAACCGACTAATTGGCGACGAAATATCAGCACGGATCCAAAAAGCTCGAGCTGCTTTCGCCAACTTACACCATCTCTGGCGTAGGCGTGACATCCGGTTATCAACCAAGGGACGTGTGTACTGCTCAGCAGTTCGCTCCGTCCTTCTCTATGGCTCTGAAACATGGCCAATACGCGTTGAAGACATGAAAAGGTTGACTGCTTTCGATCATAGATGTCTGCGATCTCTTTCTCGCGTTAGGTGGTTTCACAAGGTAAGTAATGTTGACGTTAGGCGTAGAGTGTTGGGGGAAGAGGGAAAATCAATCGACGAGGCTATAAAGTTACATAGATTGAGATGGCTAGGTCACGTGGTGCGCATGCCTAACCATCACCTCCCCCGACGGGCATTACAAGCTGATATAGGTGCAGGTTGGAAAAGAGTAAGTGGTGGCCAAACAAAAACATGGCCTCATCAATCCATGAAATGCTTGACAGTTAAACTGAGTCGGTCAGGTAGGGAGATGCAGACTTCCGGGTTGGGGCCCTCGGGACTGACTCTAGGAATCAATGGCTGGAAACAATAGGTGACATGGCTCAAAATCGTTGTCAATGGCCAGCGCAGATGTATTCAGTCTCTGTAATCTTTCATATTTCTTTCTACAATTACCCATTCTGTTTCACTCTTATACCTGTCAAACTCTATTGGTTGTCTTCACTCATCTTCTTGCCTACCTTTGTGTTTTATTTGGAACGTGGCAACTCGAACTGCAGCACTTCGGTGCCAAGTTCTATGTTGAATCCAGACAGACAGAGCGACGGTCACACCAAAACACGGCACCAGTCAATAAAATGCACAAAAGTTAGTTTGAGCCACGTAGGAAGATGTAGACTTCCCGGTTGGGGTCCTCGAGACGGTAGAAACCAATGAAGGCTGCAGACAATTGGCACTATGGCTCAAACTCATCGTTCTCAATGGCTAGCACAGATGCATCCACTCCGTGTGACTTATTATTTATTATTGTATCCTTTAGTTCCTAGAGGAACATAGGGCTTCAGCTGCGCACCTCCATTGCCTTCGGTTTTCTGACAACTTTTTCACCCCGCTCCAGGTCTGTCCACATGCTTTCATCTCCTCCTCGCATGACCTCCTCCTAGTCACCCTTGCACTGACGACCAACTCGCCGCCTCCCTTTCGGGTTCCACTCGAGCGATGGCTTGTCTAGTGATGTCACTTGATGGTTTCCTGAGAGTATGGCCAGCCAATCCATCTTCATTTCTTCCTGCTTATTTGTTTCACAATCGGTTCCTGCTGGGTTGGTTCGCTCCCAGAGATCCCTCCATGTTGCTGATCTTTTCTGGCCAGCCATCTGATCTTGAGTATTGAGCGAAGACAACTGTTAATGAAGGTCTGAAGTTTGTTTGAGATGCTCTTTATGACGCGCAGTGCAAGCCTCTGATCCGTATAGTAGCACTGACTGACTTTACATTGGAGTTGAAAATCCGGATCTTATTTTTGATGCTGAGTGCTGTTGACCTCCACACAGATTTGAGAGTAATGAAAGCTTGTCTTGCTTTTTCGATTCTGGCTTTGATATCCTCGTCAGTTCCGCCTGTAGTTGAGACGATGCTTTCCAGGTAGGTGAAGGAGGCTGTTTCTTTCAGGTTCCTCCCATTTATGCTGGCTGATTGTTGTCTGTTGTTGTTGTTGCTGTTGATGTTGGCTAGGAATCTTCATCACCTCTGTTTTATCTATGTTCACTTGAAGTCTTATCTTTGATGCTTCTTCTGACAACTTGTCGCTTTTCACTTGCATATCTTCCAGTTTGTGGGAAATCAGACATATATCATCGGCGAAATCCAGATCCTCCAAGTCTTTTGTGTCAGTCCATTGTATGCCTGTTCCCTCGTTGGTTGCCGTTGTCTGTCGCATTATCCAATCGATTGCAATCAGGAAGATCATTGGTGATAGTAGACAGCCTTGCCTCACTCCCGTCCTCACTTCGAAGGCTTCCGTAAGTTTCCCGTTGTGAATTACTTGGCATGCAGCATTGTCGTATAACTGTTGGATGAGATGTATAATTGTCGATGGGACCCCGTAGTAGCGAAGTAGTTGCCATATGACCTCTCGATCGACGCTGTCGAAGGCCTTCTCAAAGTCGATGAAGTTGAGATAGAGAGGTGACTGCCATTCCAAGCTTTGTTCAATGATGATCCGTAGAGTGGCGATTTGATCAATACATGATTTGTTTCTCCTGAATCCGGCCTGCTCCGGACGAAGTTTTTCATCTAGGGCTTGTTTGATTCTCTCCAGGATGATGCGACTTAGTATCTTGCTTGGAATGGACATATAATTCTTCGTTATTATTCTTTTTGACTCATATCTCTGTTTACTGTCTCTATTTTACGTTTCTTGTCTACTTTCTTTTCTTGCTTTGTGTACTACATGAATGAATGGAGTATGGCTACTTGAACTGCTGCACATCGGTGCAAAGTTCTACGTTGAAAACAGACAGACAGATATTTGAGTTGGATGTAGACTCGATGAACTAGGATTCATTAATCAATTTCTCTCCCCACCTACCTACCTATATTACTTTTTAGAATTCCGACTCTGCCCCACCCTATTGTATGGTTACTTATCTTCATGGGATCAATCATTCTAACCTTAGATAAATTCTTATGCTCTGATAATCTCACTAACACTACTATTATTCCCAAATGTATTTTATCCTCCATAGTAGAGTGACTAGGAAAATTCGTCTTAATTCTCATCTTATTATATTCATTGATAACACTAATTTTGTTTCCTAAAGTACTTTATCTTCCTTTCTGTTTCACGCATGTCTTATCTTGATTTTATTCAAATGTCTAATCATCAATTTCTAGTCATGTATATAAGTGAAGCAAGAAAGTTGTATAAGTACCTTGATATGATTATGAGTAGCAATAATTTGTGCTCGAAACGCTGTCATCAGTAAATATTCCTGTATAACACACTGTGTGATTTTATCAAAATAAAATTTTTATCCATGATGGAGTTATACTCTAGTAAATTATTTAGTTAAAAATCTGTAAACTGATACTTGGCTACAAGACACACATACTGTACAACAGTTGATGATACCTACCTAGTTCCTCAAACTTAAGTAAGTGGATAAAGATTCGAACCCAATACACCGATTGGCTACAAGTCATAGGCTTAATTTTATCTCTCCTATAATTAGGTTTTAATAATTATGCGATGACATAGGGCAATTTGAACAGTCAAGCAGTCATTACATACTATCTGTACACTTAAAATTTGAAATGGGTCCATATGAGGAAATCAAGAAGCCTGTAGATACAATAATGAATGAAGTTAAAAAATCCACAGCTGAATTAATACGCAGAATAAAGCCGTCACTGGGTGAGTCAAAATGGTTTAATTTAATGCCTAAAACTAATAATGCTAGTAGAATGTATGGTACTATTAAAATACATAAACCAAGGTACCCCATACGACCAATAGTAGACTTTAGGAATACCCCCTACTTGTAAATTATCAAAACACTTACCTCTAATATTATGCCCCATTAGAAATCGTTCAAACTCTAGACTAGCTAATTCATTTGAGATGAAAAATAAACTAAATGACATTCAACTAGAGAATGATGAAACAATGGTTAGTTTTCATATAACTAGTCTTTATACTAATATACCAATCAATATGGCCATAGAAGCACTTAAAAAAGAACTAACTGCGGATCTTGAACTCAATCATAGGACAAAGCTGCCCACTGAGAAAATTATTTTAGGAATTCAGTTATGCCTCACATCTACTATCTTTAAATTCCAGAGCAAAATATATAAACAAACAGATGGTGTAAGCAATGGGATGGATCACCACTATCCCCCAGCGTAGCAGATATCTTTATGGATGATGTCCTACTCGAAAAATATGGTGGAGATATGTGGATGACACTTTCACAGTATTGAAAACAGAACATATCTCTAGCTTCTTGACACATATAAACTCACTAGTAAAGGGAATAAAATTCACATTTGAATCGAAAAATGAACAAGGAGAATTAGCTATGTTAGGTTGTAAGATAAAACGAATAGAAGGCAAACTACACACTAGTGTGTACAGAAAACCAACTCATTCTAATAGATTCTTAGACTTTAATTCATCTCATCCGTTAACTGTTAAGGCAGGTTTAGTAGCACACTAAGTAGTAGCACTAAGTAGCGCAAAAAAGACCTAAATGATGAAATAAAACAGATAGAAGAGGCGTTGGCGTCAAATAACTATCCTCTACAATTCATTAGGAAGATTGAAAAAGGCCAAACGGAAAATAAAAATAATTGTGAAACTAGTAATAATAACACAAATAAGAGAGAATATAAGTCATCTACAGTTATATCATATAAGGAGGAGACATCTGAGACGCTACGTAGGATTCTAAATAAAGCAGAAATTAGGATGGCATTTAAACCTACAAACCAACTCAGAGACAAGCTCTGTAGGCTAAAAGACCCGGTGGACCCAATTAAACAAAAAATAATATAATTTACAAAATACCCTGCAATGACTGTGAGGTCAACTACACATAGGTCAAACTAGTAGGTCAGGGGTAGTCAGATTGTCAGAACATAAGAATTTAGCTGAGGTAAGAATGGTTAACCCCGAGAAGATAAGTAATTTAGAAAAAAGCTCAGCAATATCACTGCATGCATCAACACACGACCACACAATAGGGCGGGAGGGGGTTAAAGTCCTAAAAAGTAATCTATGTAGGTGAAAAGAGAGGTCGATTACTGAATCCTTGTTCATCGAGTCTACACCAAACACATGCGACAGGAATGACTCATCACTCATACCCGAAATATGGAAAATACTACTACCAATCAAATCAAGTGAAAAACAATGGAACTATATCAATGAAGTTAGGAAGTCGTGGGATTACCTTGATATAATTATGAGCAGTAAAAAATTGTGCTCGAAACGTCATCAGTAAATATTACTGTATAACACTGTGAGACTTTATCAAAACAAAATTTACCAATAATGGAATTACAATCTACGACAGTGCACAAGTTTTATTCTTATATCAATACACTCCTATCAGTCTATCTGCATAAAGTTTAAGAATGCTCTCTCTCTAAGTGAAATCCATACATTTCCAAATGACCACAAAAAAACTAATCAGCCGAATGTCCACCCCCTCGCCACCTTGTTAACAATTCCTACAACACAACATTGTCATCAAGAAAGAGGTAGTGCATCAATATGGCATAAAAGTAACAATAAACTATGAAACTGTACTCTTTGTTTTACCTTTACAATCGCTTCAGCAGTCTCTTTAAAATCATTGCAACGACCAGGATTTCCACGGGCCAAATAATCTTCTACCAGCTTTAAACCAATATTAAACCCACTAGTAAGTACAAAACTGTAACAACACTAGCTAGCTGGATAACTTACATTTTATCCAATTGTTCATTAATCTCTGCATCTGTATCGAAATCACGGACAATATTTGCAACAAGAGCTCCATAAGTTAGAGTGAACAATTCAGCTGTCTGTTGTTTATTTGATTGATTGATGAATTATTAAGTGAAAACACAGTGCATACCACTCGTTTAGATTCCACAGCACGTGACTGACGCGCCATTATTTATTCGCTTGGGTATAATCTCTTCCCTAAAATGTTAGAATGAAAAAAATATTGAACTTTCTAAGTATGTAAGAGTAAATTAAACGTATTTGTGGTAAGATATTGCAGTAGCACTCATAAGAAACCAATATTTTCAAGTCATTAATTGTGAGGTATCAGTTAGACAGTACAAGTTGAATTAAATAAGTGCTTAGAAATTGAATCCCACGATTTCAGAAAACACTCAACATAAATAATGATAGTAGCGACAGTGATAATAATAATAATAATAATGACGACACCAACAATAAGGAATCTAAATCATCAGTAGTAATTCCATACAAGGAAGGAACCTCGGAAACCACTTTACGGAGAATTCTTAACAAGGCAGGAATAAAAGTGGCATTCAAACCGACAAACTCAATTAGAGACAAACTTTGTCAATTAAATGGTGGATCCTGTGGGGCCTTTAAAACAAAACAATTTAGTTTATCTAATACCCCTACGACGACAAATAGAAGACAAAGAAAACTATAAAACTCAAGTTTCGAAGTCGTGTGATATGATTATGAACAATAAATTTTGTTCGAAACCTTATCACCCAGTAAATAATACTGTTTCACTGTGTGATACATCTAATAAACAAACTAATATGGAATTACTCGGCATAAAGGCTAAGAACAGTGGCAGAAAAATATCCAACTCGATTATAACGTTGGACATCAAGGCATCTTATTAGATGTTTTCAAGTATTGGTCTTGTAGGGATTTTGTTTGATTGGTTAGAGGATTTCGTCATTAGCTGATATCAGTTAGAGAACTATTGGGAAACTAGCCACAGGAGTACTGGACAGCCGACTGTCTCACCCTAGTTTGCAACTCCTCATCAGTACGCACCCACCGGGGCTCAAACCCAAGCTTTCCAATGGTTCTCTAACTGATGTCAGCTCATGGTGTAATCCTCCAACCAATTAATAAGTATTATCATATAAACACAAACTTAGTACAACGTCCGCATCAAGATATTAACCGTATATAAATCAACTAAGCTATGTAAAAATAGAGAAATAGGTAAGGAGTAATATGGAGACGTTTCTCAAAATTAGATTCAAAAGGATTATTTACTGGAAGTGTTACACTTCTGACAACAGGATAAAGACGGAAACTGCAGCAAAACTGCCATTTATTTAGATTTTATGGCACATTTCTCGAGACAGTGAATCGCATATGAATCTTACATATTCGACTGAGGGAATTATGATGAATCCAAGGATGCAGACCTAAAATAACTATCATGCACTTTGCAATGCTATTTCGCTAACTGGCTACCAAACACTTCTTCAAAAAAACTCCAGGGATATGAAACAGTTAATGATGTCGGGTTTTCTGACTGAATGACTGGCTGGTTTCAATACAGAAATTTGCACAAATGTGCAGCAGTTCGAGTTGCCAAACTCCATGTACCACACAAATGAAGACAAAAATGAGAAGGAAGAGATTCAAAAGAAACATAATAAGCAGAAATGTGGGGGGAGAAAGGATAGTAACATCGAAAAACAATAGGGTTTTAATGGGTATGGGAGATCACAAGAAGTGAATGCATCTGCACCAATGAGAGCCATTTCGAGCCATGTTATCAGTTTTTCCAGCCGGTGTGTTCTTAACATCTCGGCGACCACAACCAGTCAGGAAGTCTACACCTCCCTTTATAGTTGGCTTAAACTACTGTCGAGGTTTTGATGGACTGATTTCAAGTTTCCATTTGATCACCACTAGTTCTTCTCCAAAAACTGATCCTATGTCAGCTAATATTGCTTTTTGCGGAAAGCGGTGTCAAGGATTCGTGCGTAACACGTTCTAACAATCTCAATCGATGCAGCTGCTTCACAACTTCGTCGATTGATTTCCTCTCCCACTTACCTAGCACTCGACCGATGTCTAACCTCAATATTACTCACCCTATTATATCACCTAACATAAGGGACAGAATGCAGACACGTATGATCAAAGACAGCTAGCTAGTGTTTTCATGTCTTCCATTTTCAGTGGCCTTGTCTCACAGACATAAAGGAGGACGGAGCATACTGCTGAGCAGTACGCACATCCGTTGATCGACAGCAGGCTATCAAACCTACATCAGCGACAGTGTAAGTTGACAAGTCTCATACAGGCTTTTTGTATTGGTGGTGAGGTTTCTTCAGTAATCAACACGTTGGAGCTGGCTGATGCAACTCCCAAATAAGTGAAGTGGTCAGCAGACTTAGCCACTACTTCACTCCTGCCCATCTTTAAGCTAGAAGTGATTCGATGAAGTGCAGTGTTGTAACATCATCCTACGTTTGACAGTAGCAAATCGTATACCAAATATGCGAAGATTGCTTCTCAAGGTGTTTAGAAGACTCTGCATTTCATCGGCGTCTTCACGTAGGAAGATTATATCATCCACATATTCTAGTTTAACAAGATTATTCCCTGGTGGTAACAAGTAAATCCCTGAGTCTCTGAAGTCAGTTATGGTTAAGTCCATTAGTACACCTATGATGAAACTGAACAGCAATGGAGACTGGACATCCCTGACGAACATCACTGGTTGTCACCACTTCAGCTGACAACTCTCCGTAGTCTCTTACTTGCCTGACTACATGAGTTCGAGTAGAGTGTCTTGGTCAGCTTGATGTATTTTTCCAGCATCTCCCTCACTCTCAAACATGTCCATAGTACATCCCAGTCGATGGAATCGAATGAGTTTTTCATGTCAAGAAATATGGCGATTGATGGTTTCCAGTAAGTATGCCAATGTTCCAGAATCTATCGAATGGTGAAGGTATGATTGATACACCCCGTTCCAAGTTTAAAGCCATAGTGTTTTTCTCATGTTTGTTTCCCCAGGTAATGTTTAATCTAAGCATGCTTACTGAACCTAGAACTTTAGATACCATGTTGATCAGGCTAATCCCCGTATAAATACCACAGAACTTATTCCCCTTCTTGTATACTGGGATAATCAATGACTTACACCAGTCCAGGGAGACTATCTCTGATGCTCAGACATTGCCTGATACCCTAGTTAACGCACACAGTAAATTGCCCCCGTCTGGAGTCATTCCATCAGGTCCCGTCACTTTGCCTCGTTTCAGATTAGTGAGAGCTTTTGTCATCTCAGCTAGGGACAGAGGACCGGTGTTCATACTACATTCAGGAAAGTGTTGGATGCTGGGTAAGTTAAGCATGGCTGCAGACCAATCAAATTGCTTCCCAAAGTGTTCATTCCAAAGTTGCAGTCTTCTATCCTGAGAGCTAATTATGGTGTCATTTTTCTCAGGGATTGTTTTACTTATCATTTGCCTTTTACACCTATTTGCCTGATAAGGCTATATAGTTGTCTGGTGTTACCCATCGCCGATGTCTTTTCCATCTATTTCCCCTTTGTCTCGCAATACTATTCACGTTAATCGCGAAGACTTTTTATCAGTTTGCGTAGAATTTTATTGGAATACATTCGAGATATGTATGAGGTACAGATGCCAATGTCCCAGGGTGGTGGGCACAGATCTTGACACATCTGAAAACCAACAAACAGTTTCCACTTTAAAAAAGGGTGACATCACTAACTGAAATTCCTTGTGTTCTCCAACGTATCTATCATATCAAAAGCTAGTGTGAGTAATATTAATCCAGGATATGCTATTCAACGAGCACAGAGAACACAAATAACACAGTTTCGTACATTTCATGTAGGTAGTTATTTCAGTACCTTGCTGATTTTCAGAATTATAGGAAATATTTTAGTGTCTATGACCCCATTTTGGCCTTCAATCTTCACTAGAGTGAGTCGTAATATGTGCTGACAAGTAACACTGAAGACAGACTAGTTATTTCCACAACAACTTTATTGGTGAAAACAGACAGCCAAGATCCTCAAATGAGGAACATGTCGTGGATAAAGGACAAAAGATAGATTTCTAGTCGTCTTTTAGAACTATGTATTAGACTTGTTGGGAGCGCGTCCTAAAATCTGTGATAGCCTCAGCAACTAAAAAGCCCAAGTCACCTATAAAGGCAACTTCACTACATTATGCATCACTGAGTGAATGCTTTTCGGATATGACTCTGATTATACTAGCATGCTCCTTTTTGGCTAATTGATCTTCATTATCATTTTGACTCAAATAAAAAATCTGGAAGCAATTTTGGAGTTTTGGGAGCAATTAAATCCAGAAATTCTGGATTAATGCATCATCCTTCCCAAAAGGGAACCCTGAAAATCCTCGTAATTCACCCCAACCTTATTAAATCTCGTGACTTTCAAACTAACATCTTTATAAAAGTAAACGGGTATAATTATAAGTATACCTGTTTATTATCTCATTTAATGCCCTACTTTTATTGTCTGAATTCCTAATACAAGTGCTTTTTCGATTAGATTGTTAGGATCTTATTATATTGATGTGTTACACAGGTATTCTTATGTAAGAACAATATAATGTTCGTTAGTACATTAATTTTTTGAGTTGATCACGGATTGATATCAGTTAGAGAACCATTGAAAACCAGCACTGGAGTACTGGACGACTGCTGCTTCATTCTAGTTTGAGAATCATCGGCAGAACGTACCCACGGGGGTTCGAGCCCAGGACCTTCCGGGTACAAGGCAAGCTCGTATACCATTTACCCACTACGACTCGATTCAATGGCTCATGAATTGTAAATCCTACTAATTCGGGATTCAGCGCGACTCCAACCAATGTCATTGGTGGGATGAAATAGCTACTTAGTACTCCCTGGTTTTCAATGGTTCTCTAACTGATATCATCCCGTGATCAACTCGTAGAACCAAAACTAATCCTTAAAAACCAATTATAGAAGATATTGTTCTAAAATCCTAATGAGAAAATAAAAGGTTAAAGAAATGCGCTCTTGAGGCATAGCAATAATGTAGTGAGCCCAGTAAGTCGTAAACACAATTCCTGACTCATTTCAGCTTTTAACATAATCACCTGCTAACCTTGAAAGTAAAAA